TGACCAGAATTTTGGCGAGAGTCTTTGCATATTTACCTTCTTTCATTTCCCAGATTCTGGACGTTATCTATTGACCTGTTTTGATTTTTATTTTGGTCTATTTTGAATTGCGTGACACTGAAAACCAGCAATTCTCTTTGTTTGTGTCCTTCAGGCCTCACTACTAAGCTGAATTTTAATATATCGAAAACGGTCTATTCATTTGAGGTTACTTTTAATTAGGACAAAAGGTCTGGATAGAAAGTAAATTTGTCGATCACTCTAAGGGAGGGGGTTGGGGACAATGCGGTACGAGTTCGCACACACACAAAAAGCTGAGGATACTCTTCTGCACTCGAGTGAATTGCAAAATTAAGGACCGAGCCATCTCGGTGACTGGCTGACTTTTTATTTTTGACCGAAAATTTTCTGCGAAATCCTATGAGTTTGATTATAAAATGATTGTAATCAACATAGCACAAAACGTGATCATGTCTACTATTCTATTTTGAACTCTTTTTCAGCGTCAGAAGTTGCTAATTGCTTTGACAAGCCTATTGGAGTTGCTGATAAAGATAAAGTTCCCGACGCTCAGATGACTGCTTCTTCGTACCATGGCGCTAAATACCAACCTGCGTACGGCAGATTAAACGGAGAGAGGGGCGATGGATGGTGCGCTGGGACGTCCAGCGGCAATCATGAATGGCTTCAAATTGACCTAGGAAAGCTTTATACAGTGTGTGCTGTTGCTACCCAGGGAGACATAAATGGCAACGAGTGGGTGACAAAATTCAAGCTTTCCTTCTCCGTGGATGGAAAGAGTTGGGATGTCAATGCGGGGGTATGACTGTACACCGCAATTCAATCGATTTTTGTTGGTGTCATTGTTTCCCCAACTTCTTAACGTAAACTTTTCAAAGTTACACTCTCTTTTTGACTCACACACTTAATTATTTGAACCAAGTTTGATGTTTTGAGAAGTCCTCTTCAATCAGGTTCATAAAATTCTTTGTAAAAGGAAATTATCTATTAAAAGCTTGAAGGAGCATTTTCAAACTTTTCGGAATGGGTTCAATATCAACTGAAACTCCTTTGTGTAGATATGTCTTCACAGGCCGTGTGTGTTTGACCTTGATGGTTTCTGCAGCATGACGCGAGTAAAATGTCTTGTATTATGACATCACTCAGGTCTCAGACGTGCATGGATCGCTCGATCCTAACTAACCTCGATCCCAGGCTCTCTCCTTTGCCTCCTAGCTAGTCCTTTTGTCTAGGCAACTACGTCTCGAACATCCTAAGGATAATTGATTCGGAAAACCAAACTAGTGTCACGAAGTAGGAAGCAATAAGAGAAAGAAAATTATGAACTTTAAAAAAAATAGCTAATAACTATCTTTTTCATCAATTATTTTGTTTGATATTCTAGGTGTTTACAAGGGTATCCGGAGATACTAGCGAAATTGAACAACACAAACTCGGAAATCCAGTTGCCGCAAGATATGTTCGTTTTAACCCTATTGGTCGAGTCCGCTACAACTGCCTTAGAGTTGAAGTATATGGCATCACAAGCGGTAGGTGTTTCCATTGCCATTGAAATTTACTAACTGAAATCAGCCATAGCGCAAATTTCACGTGGTGGGACGGAAATGTTATTTTAGGCAATTTCTTGTGGCAAGACAAGAATCCTCACTAAATGCTATGCAATTCCCTGCCATTTTTTTTACTCGGAAATCATACTATTAACCGGAGATCAACTTTTTAGTGACATCGGCCTATGGTTTGTACTTTACTAGACATTACGAGCTATGACTAGGGAGGGAAATTTTCTTTTAGGTAGTTTTAAGTTGCATAACAAAATCGCTGCATAAGAAAATTGCTACATAACCCAATGTTATGTAGCGCTCTTGTTTTATGCGTATAAAAAAACACACTAATATTATATTAACGAAACGCCACTATTTTGTCAACGTATCTTTGCGGGTTGCACTCGTAGAAATAAAAAATCCTCTCTTCAGATTATAAATTGGTATCCTAAGGCTCGAGGCATGCTCAGTTTGGTCTCCTTTAGCCTCATTAAATTTTCCTTTGGCCTCCTAACATTTTTCGACGAGCACCCTCGACTTTTCACATGTTGTCCCCCTCCCCCTGGACCACCGCCCAACAAATTTAATGAAACTTCACTTTGAAAAATCACGACAGCCGCGGCACCGAAATAAGACGACATGAATTGAAACGTGAACCTCACGATCACAATTATAAACGAAACAAGAAGCCACACGGCAATCAATTAGTCTTCACTTTTGTAGCTTTCAGAACGTTTACAATTACTAACTGCTGAATATATATATAAAAAATAGAAGGTGACTGTATAATACGGAGCTGCCTAGTTCTGGAACACGAAATTTACTTAAGGATTTTATTTACTCAGAATGTGAATCTGTGCCCTTCGGAATGCAGAGTGGAGCTATAACTGATGACCAAATAACAGGCTCCTCACAATGGAATTCTAACTATGCCTGGGCTCGTGCAAGACTGAACCAAAAAAGTTTCTGGGCAGCTAAAAGAAATGACGCCAATCAGTGGATCCAGGTAGATCTAAGTAAAATAATGACAGTCAAAGGCGTGGCGACACAAGGAAGGGACGCCTCATTTCTTCAATGTGTGAGCAAATACAAGCTTCAGTACAGCAATGATGGACAGACGTTCACTGATTATAAGGAGGAAGGAGAAACAGACGCTAAGGTAATAACATAAGTCATCGCGCAGTCGAACCTGCTGCATGATATCGACACTCGGATTTTTCCTTTCGCTTAAGACAAAAATGATTTTTGTGCCCTCTACAATGCCATACATCGCCAAAAAAAAACACAAAAATCGCAAGGAAAAAAATTCCACGGCGACGCAAACGTGGCTGAATAGCTGGTTTTCACATGACGTCACTAAAATTCGAACTACAAAACTATTGATCTTCCTGAGATTTTACTTAAATGATGTATAAGAGCTGCTGAAAACTAATATTCATTCAAATTTTCGCTCCGAATGGGT